TTTTCAGTTATAGAGATCTTGCAGATGATTAGGTTAACATTAAAAAAAAAAGACTGCTAAAAATGCCTATTTAGGTAGTCAATCTATTCACGGAATTGGACGCTAAATGATATAGTGACCATTTAAAGTTGAAACTTCTTGTCTACCAAATTGTTACTAAAACTGTTTTTAAGCATGTAAATTAATTTAAAAGATCAACTCTTAATTATCTACAGCAAAAGAGAACTTTGGTACCAATAAATTAGAAGTAGGGAATCAAAATATATTTTGTTTGTAGTTTTACAGTGTGTTTTTGGACTTAAATCGGAAATGCCTATATAGAAGATGCAAAAGTCTTGTTCTTCTTGTTTTTCACTTCCATTATTGTGAGGGATGAATGACCTACCTATTCCCAATTATTGATATAAATAAAACACTAGCCTAAATTTTCTTCCACAAAGATTAATGCGTCATACCCTGCAATTTAGGCAAAAAGTAAGTAAAGAACTAAGCGCTTTACTTCTCAAGTGCTCCCTTTCCCTTTTGACAGGAGCAGCAAGATACCAGAATAAAAACAATTCCAATAAATACATCCAGAATGTATCAAATCTCCCATATGATAAGGGGCTAAGAAGAACAACAAAAATAAATAAAAGAGAAATGGTGATTTTAAAAACAATAAGGCAGACTGAGCAAGGGGTGAGGGTGGGTTTAGGAGGGTATCTGCTACCCTTCTGCAATCAACCCTTCTGCAAAATTCAGGGCCACGCACATTGCACGTGGAATTTGGACAATTCTTTACTGGAATTTGGACAATTCTTTGCTACATAACATATAGGAAGTTATTAACTCATTTTCACTTTAAGTAATATAAAAGAAACAAACTATTCAAAATCTGTAGCAATTTTACTTTTTGAAATGGTTATCCTAAAAACATTTCCCAAATTTAAATTTTGCAAAAGTTCTACTCTCCAAGTCATCAAATTTTTGACACTGAAAACAACTTGTGAGTACTTGGACTGATTCTTTGTGGAGCATGCATTTTTCATAAATCTAGACCAAAGTGAACTAACTGGAATTTAATTCTAAATTCAGCCTGTGCTTTCTGGACATAACATTAGAATAACAGTAAAAATAATTTTTTAAATTATGTTTACTTCTCAAATAATTTTGTTTGGGAATATTCATATTCTTAGACCCAAAGACCACTTTTAGAGTTTGAAAGATTAAAGACAGAAAACAAAAATTGTTTCAGCAGTTGTCAAAATAAAAGGAATACAAACACTGACCATAACAACTTTCCACTCAGTCCAAAACAAACCACTTCAGTTGAGCTCAGCTCGCTTAATTTTTAAAGCCACTCCCCTCTTCCAGCTTCATAACTGGACTGAACGTTGCTCAACATTACCTAGGTTAACGGGGAGGAGATAAAACCGTTGTAAAGACTGCACAGTGACTGAATGTAGAAGCGTAACATTCCAGAGCTGGAGGGCTCTTTGAGATCTACCCAGACATGGATACTTCACGGATGAGAACACTGAGGCCCAAAAGATCTGACCATAGGCACATTCATTCATTCATTCACTCACCCTCTTAACGACGGCTGCCTAAGTGCCAGGCTCCAGGCTAGGTGCCGAAAACGAGCTGGAAGGTAGCATCCACCATTAACAAGCCAGTCCTTTTCCCTTGTCTTAAAATCAATCCTTAAAAGTCCTTATCAGCAAGAACTCATAGAAGAGCTCTGCAGCCTTTGTGGAACAGGGCCCACTTTCAGTTTCACACATTTCAGTAAACATAGTTGGCCCCCACTGTGTTTACTTTAAGTAATTAAGCATTAACAAAGGGAAGCACACTATTCTGAATGAGTCCCTCTCTCCAATACATTCATAGCTTAAGGAAGTGCAATCAGAAAATGCCCTATACACACACAAACAAGTTCACAGAGAGGACAGCTTACAACATCAGAGCAATATGAGGTATCCATATAGATCAGTTAAGTCCAAGAGCTCAAGTTTGCAAAGTATGGAATGTAAATATCTCTCATTTCATTCAGATGTGGGCATATTCTTCTGAGATGTCTGTATATTTAAAAGATCTCTAAACTCACATTCAAATTCACATCCGATGACACATATATGTCTGAACCAGGCCTTTCTCCTTAAGATTAACTTTCCTTGATTGCTCTTTGAGTAAAGGAAAATTAGAATTAAAAAAAATGAACAAAACCTAAAATTTAATGTTCTGGCTAAATGAAATTCAAATTCTATGTACAACCAAAGTAGCAGTAGCTCAAACTGCACATTTCTGAGTTTTGTTAAAAAATGGGATGTGCAGTGAACTTACCCATCTACATAAATCATCCCCCATTGTGCCTGGACTTTTACAATCGTTAAGTCCAGCACTTAAATGTTTTCGATATCAGAAGTCACAGTCAACTTCTTTAAGAAGAGACCATATCGACAAGGCTCTTAAATGAAACAACCCATAAGTGAGGCACTTTGAAATATTAAACAGCAGCTCTCTGTGCACCCAGTTTCAGTGTTTTATACCAAAATAATCCACAGCTTTTACAGAGCTCTCACAGATGACCACTGGGTGAACGCTGATAAAATAAATCTTCACTAACACTCTCTGAAGGCTCTTTGACTTTCCTGAAGCTAGTATCAGCTTAGGACGAAACTGCCATTGTGTTCTTCTATTTCTCAAACTTCCAGATTTGATTTTTATCTAGAGCATCGCAAGTTCTCATCTGAACATTAGGTCGGCCCTCAGGTGTCCGGTAAGAGCTAAGACACAGTCCTGAGTGGGGATGAAAAATGGTTCCATCTTCTTTAAAATGCCAAATAATGTTTGCTGGAACAGGAAACCCATCTTTGGGACAATTTTGCATTCCTATGTGATTTTTTTTGCTCAGGAACCTCTGCACATAACTCTGTCACAGAATTAAACCTTATTTCTTTGTTTGAAGTATATTCAAAGAATTGATTGCCTCCTTGACCGTGGCATCCAAACAGTGAAAGGTTAGCACCTGTGGGGTTGTTGTCAGGAGAATTATAATCTAAACATTCAGAAGAGATCCCCATACTGCGAATAGCTCCATGCCAGCCTGGCCTATCCTCTGGAACATGTAGATTAGAAAACACATTTTTCAAATACCAGTCAAAGCTTTTGCACCTCAGCCGTTCTCGTAGTAATTTTCTTTCAGAAATATCGCCATAAGCTTCCTTCCTTGCTGGAGGGTTTCGATTATAAAAGTGCTCTTTGTACTCGTCCATCCACACTTCCGCTGCCCGAGCCGTATTCTGCAGGAAATTGGGCCGAGCATAGGGTGCCCGCTTGGGGAACACGTGGCCCACGTGGGAACATGGGTGGATCTCCAGTTTACCTCCACACTGCCACACCCTAAAAGACAGCTCCAGGTTTTCACCTCCCCACACTTCCATCCCAGTGTCGTAAGTTCCAAGGTACTGAAAATATCGCTTGCTGACAGCAAATAGTCCTCCAGCCATGGTGGGTGACCTGATTGGGTCAATTCTCGATTTCCGCCTGTCCCTTTCATGTTTGGGGACAGAATGCCACTGGAACGTCAAACGCCAGTCAAAACCACCAATCATGGGCTCCCCAGTCTGCATATAGAATTCAAAAGTATTCCAATCAATGGTGTCTATGACAGGACAAACGATTGCTGTCTCATCTTCAGCGATCCTTTCCAAAAGTGGTTCCAACCAACCTGTATTACACTCGCAGTGACAATCCAGGAAAGTGAGGACATCCCCAGTGGCAAAAGTGGCCCCAATCAGACGGGCCCTAACCAGACCCTCCCGCTTATTTGTCCTAATCAAGCGGACTCTATCGAGATTGCTGATGTAACTTTCAAGTTGTGCCTTCAAATAAACTCTGTCACTCAAGTCATCGACTAAGATGATCTCCTTCAAAAGGACTGCAGGAGAAGTTTCTAAAACACTGTGGATGGTGCGGAGCAAAGTTGACCAAGCTTCATTATAGAAAGCAATGATAACAGACGTGGTGGGCAGCCTCCTATAGTTAAAGTTCTTGGATTTACACTCGTACATTCTTTTATCCTCTATGTGGCGGTGCAGGGAAATCCTGTCACTGAGGTAAATGTTAATGGCATATCTCTCAATGAGTTCTTCTTGCTGCTTCAGTTCACCCTCGTTGAGTTGGAGTTTGCTGGCTTTCCCCCATTCCCCAGTTGCGTGGGAATCTGCAGGGGGCTTCTCATAAAGCGGTCGAGACAAATCCACTGCCTCTTTCCCGGGGTCTGAGGACCGTCCTGGCCCCCGATCCCTGGCCAGGCCGGCTCCTGAGGAGGCATGGAAAGTGGAGACGGAGAGTTCCACCAGGAGATAGGCCACTGTTAAAAGCGCCAGCAGAAGGCAGCTTTTGCCTGCCCACGTCCACCTCACGGCCATCCGGATCCTCATGGCTGGGGCGCAGACGCGGACACCAGAGTCACCACGCAGGGGAAGGGCTGCCGAACCCGAAGCTAGAGTTCCCGGCTCAGGTAGGAACGAACTTCCAAGCAGGTCCCTCCTTTCATGCAGGCATTCGGCTCCCTTCCAGCCACGGGGGCTTCCCAGGGGTGACCTGGGACCTCTCTGTGCTCGGCCTCCGGTACAGCCCCAACTCCTCTCTCCCCACTTCCTCCTGTTCGTCTCTCAACTTTTCACAAACTCTCCAGCCAACACCCCACCCTCCCGAGGCCGAGGACAAACCCCTCCCCTTTCCACCTACTCCCCCTGGTGTCTAATTCGCGAAAGTCCTCGGTCAGGTCCAGGCCTATAGGCGACTCTGCGGGGCCCGGCTGGAGGGGCGGCGGGGACGACCGGGGTGGCCCCAGCTCGAACCCACTCTGGCTCCGACTGCGTCTCCGAACGCTTTCAACACCACCCCCACCCACAGAGCCTCTGTGGTTCTCCCGGGGGCCAGCGTGGACAGGAGGCAAGGGTTCCGACAGGTTAAGCGTTTCATTACCAAAAGAAAAAAAGAATAAAACTTACCAAGTTGTTTGCCGTTGGGACTAAAGTCCACGGAGGTGATGGCAGCTTTGTGGCCCTTAAAATAACGCTCCAGAATGGGGTCCTCCTGGGAAGGAAAGTTGTCAAGTTTTGAAAGCAGGTGCAGATCTCGAATTGGGGGGTTCGGGGTTCAACGCTGTCCCCTCCCCCGGGGGCCGGCCCGGGAACGTCCTCATCCGCGGTGGGTGCGGAGCGGGAGCGTCCGAAGCGAGCACACGCGGCCGCCCCTACAGGGGGACGCCGAGGGCCAGCTTCCCCCGCAGAGCCGGCAAAATCCTACACTCGCGCTTCCCAGAACCGAGCGAATGAGAGGGACCACCTGGGCAGCCTGACTGAAATACACGTTCCGGGGCCCCGCCCGCCGGCGCGCAGTCACAGGTGCGAGGCGGGGCCCCGGCTTCCGTACTTTTTGAAAACCTCCCAGGTGATTCTGACGCAGGCGCTCCACGAGAACCCTTAGAGAATTCCGGGGGCCATAGGGCTGTCCGGGCTGTCGGAGCTCCGAG